AAAAAAAAAAAAAAGAATTCAGAACTGATCCAACTTTTCTTCAACTAGGAAAATATTTCAGTGAAGTCTACAGGGAATTTCTTGTATTTACGTTCTGTAATCTGCTTCCTGACTAAAGAAAGCCTCTTTCAATCCCCAGTTCAGTTGTCTGTGACTAAGTGTTGAGGCATTTGAACAATTTTTCCTCAGAGCACTCTGGGAAATCTGTGGTTTACTACTGTTAATTTTTCTGAAAGCAGTTGGCTTTCAGAAACCTGAACTGAAGATATACCCTAAAATCCCAGATGATACCTTTTTGTCAAAAGCCACATGTGCAGGAATAAAATCAGCAGGTGGGGCTTGCTTAGGTTGGCCATAAGTTAATGCTGGTCTCTTATTGGCCAACTCATCGAGCTCAGCCTGGGACAGCTGGTTGACCTGGAGCCATTCCCCACCTATGCCAACTGTTGGACGTCGAACAACTGCATAGCCATTCCTGTAGCCCAACGTCTGGCTTCTATGGAAGGCTGTTTTCTGAAGAAGAAAATAAGCATGTCATTAATAATAATAAAGATACATTTGTTAGATAAAAGAGCTAATTTTAAAAAGTAATAACTTAATCCTCTGCTTATAAACATCACAAAACACACCAAAAAGTTTACCTACATTAAAAGGTTTTTGTGTTTTAAGCCAAAATGCTTGGCCGAAAACAAGGAAGGAGGCAGTGGCCTGAGTGTAAAATTAAATTAAAACTCTGCTCTGTAATAGTCAATTTAACTATTAATTCATCTCTCATAAGACAAAGTATTGTCTCATCAACACTCTCAATTTATTACTAGTCTTCCCATGCTTTTCATCTTATCTGAGTTATAAACCATGAACCCTAGAAAATCTGGTTCTGTGAATTTTATTTTTACCTGAAATGAAAAGCACCTTTCTTATTCATATAACTCTTAGGAAAGCAACTGAATGTCATATATTTAAAGTCCTGAACTCAGTAATCCCACCTTGATAATCTTGATATTATGGATATAAGGATATAATCCCAAATTTAGGCTATATGCCTAAAGTTGTCCATTACAATGTTAGTAACAATAGGGAAATGCTGGAAACTATCTAAAAGACAGACATTTTATGAAGATGTGAGCAAATGATGGCTCTCTCAACAGACTATTATGTAGTCATTAAAATATTGGTTTTCACAGCTAATGGTGATGGTTGAACATGATGAATATAATTAATGTCACTGATTTATACATGTGAAGACTGTAGAAATGGCAATAGGTTTTGTTACATATATACTCACCAAATTTAAAAAAAAAAAAAATGGTTTTAAAGACCTTGCAGAAACCTGGGGAAAATGTTTATAGCTTAATAAGGTCAAAAAAGCAGCATATAAGGTTATATGTGTATTATAAATGCAAGTATACAAACACATATGCATGAAAACAGACTGCATTTGTGGAATGTCAGTCTGTATAATACATTTCTGAATTAGATTAATTATTTGCAATGAACATATTTTTATAGGTAATTGAAAAACACAAACAACAAATTAAAAGAAATGATGGAATTTTTGTTATTTACTTTCCCAATTATGTGTATGTATATATATGCATGTATAGGAGCTCTGGTGACATAGTGCCTAAGGCATTTCACTGCTAACCAGAAGACTGGCAATTCAAACCCACCAGCCTCTGCAGAAGGAAGATGTGGCAATATACTTCTGAAAAGATTTACCACCTTGGAAACCCAATAGAGGTTGCTACGAGTCAGAATCAACTCAATGGCAGTGAGTTTAATGTTTAGTATATATATACATACATACATACATATATGAGAGCTCTGGTGGCATAGTGCTTAAGGCATTTGACTGCTAACCAGAAGGCTGGCAGTTCAAACCCACCAGCCACTCCTCGGAAGGAAGAAGGTTGGGCAATCTATTTCTATAGAGGTACCGTCTCAGAAACCCAAGGAAGGGTTGCTATGAGTCAGAAATGACTTAACAGCCATGAGTTTGCTTTTTTTTATATATATTAAACAACTTACAATGAATCATTATATATATATATATTTTTTGGATAAAATGACTTATGTATCTTCTAATTTCTTTGGAGCCCAGCCTACCATCTTTCAAGATCTGTACTAATATGAAGGTACAATAGATTAAACATTGTTTGCTAAAAAAGTTATAGGATGTGGACTTAAGGGTCAACAAATTCAGAATCAATAGACATGGACAGCCACGGCTGACAGGAGCTGCCCCACAGGCATAACACATTTGACATAAAATGAATTAGGCTGAGTTGACTCCCTCACTGGGTAACTTTGTAACTTCAAGCTCCTTTCCACCTCTTACAAGAGAAACAATATCACTGCTTCAGTTCACTTTTGTCATTATAGAAAGACATCTCAATCATCACTTAGCTATGACTTTTACTGTTGTTGTTGTTGTTGTTATGTGCCATCAAGTCGGACCTGACTCATAGTGACCCCTCCTTGGGTTTCCCAGGTGGTATCACTACGGAAATAGATCGCCCAACCTTTCTTCCAAGGAGTGGCTGCTTAGCAGTCAAGTGACTTTTACTAGTGGACCCATATGGCACCCCAGGGAAAGCAAACTCAGGCCTCCTCAACCTTCTGATAAAGTATGGGCTCACCTTCTGAATGCCTTTAGAGGTACATATACCTACCTATTCCTTCACTGTTGATGATACAGTGACCATGTTTTTCAAACTTCAAATAAAGCAAACTGGTGGACACTCAGCTAGTGTATTTAAAATATGAAAAATCTAGGACCAAACCATCCACTAGTCCAACCATTCACTATGTGACACTATGTGACAGCTGTAATCATATATTAAACCAAACCAAATTCACTGCCATTGAGTTGGATCCAACTCATAGTGACACCTCCTTGGGTTTCTGAGGCAGTATCACTACAGAAGTAGATTGCCCAACCTTCCTTCCAAGGACTGGCTGGTAGGTTTGAACCACCAGCTTTCTGGTTAGCAGTCAAATGCCTTAGGCACTACACCTAAGTGTAGTGCCTATTACTCACAAATTACTCAACTCAATTTTTTTATTTCAGTACTAAGTCCAGTGCACAGTTTAACTAATTTGTACTATAGTAGTATATATCCTCCATATAGCCTGGTATTCCAGTCCACCCAAACCCAAACCAAACCTATTGCTGTCGAGTCAATTCTGACTCATCGTGACCGTACAGGACAGAGTAGAATTGCCCCATAGGATTTCTAAGGTGGTAATCTGTACAGAAGTGGACTGCCATATCTTCCTCCTACAGAGCAGCTGCTGGGTCCAAACCAATCTTTCAGTTCGCAGCTGAAAACTTAACTACTATGCCTCCAGGGTTCCTTAACTCTAGTCCACATCTCTGTAATGCTCCAAATCAATTTAACTCTATGTGCTTTCATGGGCAATAATTACCTACATTTTCTAAATTACATAAAATGAAAACCAGTTGCATTGAGTAGATTCTGCTTCATAGTGACCCCATGTGTATCACAGTAGAACTGTGCTCCATAGGGTTTTCAGTGGCTGATTTGATAGTAGATTGCCAGGTCTTTCTTCCAAGGCACATCTGGGTGAACTCAAATCTCTCTCTCTCTCTCTCTCTCTCTCTCTTTCTTTTCTTAGCAGCCAGATTAACTCTTCACACCACCCCAGGACTCCACATAAAAGTGAAAAGCCCACTGAAACTGAAAATCTATTATGCTGTGTCTTACTTAATACAGCAATAATCATGAGGTAGAAGAGATTCAGAATTCAAATGTCCTGACCAAACTTTAAATATTTTAACTTGAAATTCATTTTCCCAAAGAAAATAAATCAATCAAATATTTTATCCTAACCTTGTGAATGTAGAGAGGACCTTGCAATTTAAATTATTCGACTATACAAATTACTGTTGGTTTATCTATGATAATCATCCTACTGCCTACTGAATCTCAAGTAATGACCTCCTTCCAGAACATATGTTTCAGTAACTCTTTAAAATTAAAACAAATACTAAAGAATTTTTGTCAAGGGCTAAACTATGTCATGAGAAAAAAAAAAGAGAGAGAGAGAGAGAGAGAGCATAAGCTTTTTTTGTTTTTCAATTTTGTCTAGAAAATGCAACAGAAAACATTTAAGGTTGTGGGGAAGGAGAAAAACAAAATCTAAATAGGTACTTTTACAAAAAAACTTAGAGTGAGAAGAACAAAGTGGTAGGAAAATACGAATTAAATATCTTCAGTGAGGCAGGGAAGAATGGTTTGGGAGGGAGTTGGGGAAATGTGGAAAGTATAACTTTTTGAGAAACAGCAATTGAGAAAGAAGATAAAACAAGGATGGAGAGAAGTGGGACTAGACTGTAGAAAAGGTAGAAGTGCAGGACAGAAATGGGAAGAGGTTGGGTAGCATAAATGAGGGATGCGGAAGCATAAATGAGAAGTGGGGACATGTGGAAAACGACCTGGCAGAAAGAAGAAAATGAAAAGCTTTACAAGACAAGAAACAGAGTTTGGGGTGGAAGAGATTACTGGGTCCAGGATTCAGAAGAGGAAGAGGCGACGCAGGAATGAGGGGTCAGGGGAGAGTGGGTAGGACGGGGCTGTAGAGTGAGGATGAGGGTGGAGAGAGGCTGAGTCCGGGAGACTAGGATGGGGGGGGGGGCGGTGGCTAAGGATGGAGCTAGGAGCTCTGGTAACGTAGTGCCTAACGCACTTGGTTACTTGACTGCTAACCAGAAGGTTGGCAGTGCAAACTCACCAGCCACTCCTCGGAAGGAAGATGGGGCAATCTACTTCCCTAGTGATACTGCCTCCGAAACCCAAGAAGGGGTCGCTGTGGGTAGGGTCCAACTCAACGGCATATAACAACAACAACAAGGATGGAGCTGGGGAGAGACAGGAGAATGAGACAGGGAAAGGGCCTGGGGAGAGCTTGAGAGTAAGGTGAGAAAAGAGTAAGCGATCAGGAGAAGAATCAAGGGTGGAGGAACAGAGCGGCAAGGAAGTACGCGTATAGGGGAAAGAGGACTAGGGCGAGCGGACAGATTGCCAGGATGGAGCAGAAAAATTAAGAAATGGAGTGGAGAGAGAAAAGGTAGGAGAAAAAATATGATGCTGCGTGAGGCAGACGACAGAATTGCGGCGGAAAATGAGAACAAAGTTGAAGCAGAGGGCAGGTCTGAAGGGAGAGGACAGACTCGGATGCGCGAGACTAAGCGGAGAGGCCCCGAAGCTGCTGGATGGTGGCGACAGGCGGAAGTTGGGCAGATGAGTCCTCACCGTGGTGTCCTTAAAGGACGTGCCTGGGAGGAAGGGCAGGCCATGGACTGGGTTGTACACCATCGCAGCCGCTATTACTCGCGCTGCCTCAGCCAGGTTTTGTTCATCCGGGTTGCCTGGGCGACAAGCCGCGTCCGCAAGCCCCTCGAGACTCCATGGTAACCGTAAACATCCCGAGAGCCCGCGAGCGAAGGGCGGAGCTTAAGGTTTAGCACCACAGATCTGCGCGTGCGCCCATCCTCCAGCCTCCACGTTCTCGCGGTGGCACGGTTTACGGCGGGGTTACGAGGTTGTGGGCCTGCGACGATGAGCCCGCCAATACGGCTGTGAACGTTGGGGCTCCCAGTAGACTCTTTGTGGGAGTTGTTGAGCTGCCAGGAGAGGGGTTTAGTTGTACTGAGACCGTAGTTCTCGCAGTGAAGTCCAGGGGTCGCAGCAGATCCTAAAGTCAGTTACAGAAAAGGAATTTCTACGCTTCTTTCCATCCTAGTTTCCATTGACTCTGCCGCGCACCACTGGCGCAGTGAACTCAGGCACTCTTTCTCCCAGTTCTGCAAAAGGGCCCTGCGTGTAAATGGTTAAGGAGCTCTGGTGGCATAGTAGATGAGGCATTTGGCGGCTAACCTGAAGGTGAGCTGTTGAAATCCACCAGCCTCTCCAGGGAAGGCTAATGGGCCAATCTGCTTCTGTAAAGGTTGACAGCCTTGGAAACCCAATGGAGGTCGCTGTGCCTCGGAATGGACTCCATGGCAGTGAGTTTGGTTTGGATTTTGGTGTAAATGGTTAGTCTGGATTAAAATGTTACCGACCCCAGGCCCAATGCATCTTGGGGGCAGGGTCCTCAGATTATTCATAATTGTATTTCTGTTGCTGAGATATTTAATGAGCTAATGCAACAACCTCATCCCTAATCTTCCTCCTGCCGAATTATCTTTTTCCTGTCTGCTATTATTATTCTACTGTCAATGCCTGTGGTTCGGCAGCCTTAACGTTCTTGCCAGCCAGACCAGGAGCATATTCCCTGCACTACTATTTGTGCTCAATATTTGTTGACAGAAAAGTTTCTCTCTTTGTTAGAGTGCCATCAAGTAGATACGAACTCACAGCGACCCTGTGTATAACAGAAGGTCCTGAGCCATACTCAATCTTTGCTATGCTTGAGCCCCTCGTTGCAGCCACTGTGTCAATCCATTTCATTTAGGGCCTTCCCCTTTTTCTCTGACCCTCCACTTCACCAAACGTGATATCCTTCTTCAGGGACTGGTCCCTTCTGACAATATGACCAAAGTAGGTGAGACAAGTCTGGCCGTTCTTGCTCTAAGCATTCTGGCTATACTTCCCTAAGGCAGATTTGTTCATTCTTCCACCAGTCCATGGTACATTCAATATTCTTCGCTGACACCATAATTCAAAGGCATCAATTCTTCGGTCTTCCTTGCTTGTTGTCCAGCTTTCACATGTATATGAGGAGATTGAAAATACCATGACTTGGATCAGGAGCACCTTAGTCCTCAAAGTGACATCTTTCTCTCTAACACTTTAAAGAGGTCTTTTGCAGCAGATTTGCCCAATGCAATACATTGTTTGATTTCTTGACTGCTGCTTCCATGGGTGTTGATTGTGGATCCAAGTAAAATGACATTTCTGACAACTTCAATCTTTTCTCCATTTATCATACTGTTGCTTATTGGTCCAGTTATGAGGGTTTTTATTTTCTTTATGTTGAGGTGTGTGGTAGTTAAGGTTGTGTGTCAACTTGGCTTTGCTGTGATTTTGAGTGGCATGGCAGCTGGATGTAGTTATTCCCCATGATGACATTGTATGTGGTATAATCACCTCCATGGTGGAATCTGCTGTGAACAGCTAATTGTTGAAGGGTAGTGCCTTTGCAGTATGGCCTGCTTCCAGTATATATGGCGAAGCTTTGGGAAATATCTGTATCTTTTTGGCTTATTTTGGATCCTGCTTTTGGCCTGTCATCATCTCTAGTTCCTGGACTTGAGCCAGGAGCCTGTTGTGTTGTCTGCCAATCTTGGGATTGTTGGCAGTGCAGCCTGTTAGCCAACAATCAGCCATTTTACCTGCTGATCTTCAGTTCATCAGCCTCAGCACCCAGCAGCTCCATGAGTCAGAAGTAGCCTCCAGCTTACTTCAGTGGACCTGGAACAAGAGGCAGAGATGAAGCCCAAGGACAAGGGGCCTCGTCTTCCCCTAGAGCTGGCACTCTGAACTCTGACTTCTAGCCTAGTCTTTACCTAGAGGTGGCACTCTGAATTTAGACTTCTAGGCTCCTATATTGTAGGAAAATAAATTTATGTTTGTTAAAGCCACCCATTTGTATTTCTGTAATAGCAGTGCTAAAGAACTAAGGCAAGGTATAACCCATCCTTTGATCTTCATCAGTAAGTGTTTCAAGTCACCTTTACTTTCAGCAACCAAGGTTGTGTCATCTGCATATCATAGGTTGTTAATAAGTCTTCCTCCAATCCTGATGCTGCATTCTTTTTCGTACAGTCCAGCTTCTTGTATTATTTGCTCAGCATACAGATTGAATAAGTATGGTGAAAGGGTGCAATCTAGAGGCACACCTTTCCTGATTTTAAACAGTGCAGTATCCTCTTGTTCTGTTCAAACAAGACCTTTTGGTCTATGTACAGGTTCTTCATTAGCACAATTAAGTATTCTGCAATTTCCATTCTTCACAATATATCCATAAATTGTTATGATCTACATAGTCAGATGTCTTTGCATAGTCAATAAAACACAGATCAAGAAGAAAAAGTATTATAATGAAATGTGCAAAGACCTAGAGTTAGAAAATCAAAAGGGAAGAATACGCTCACCGTTTTTCCAGCTGAAAGAACTGAAAGAAAAATTCAAGCTTTGAGTTGCAATATTGAAGGATTCTATGGGTAAAATATTGAACAATTCATGAAGCATCAAAAGAAGATAGAAGGAATACACAGAGTCACTGTACCAAAAAGAATGTCAGTGTTCCACCATTTTAGGAGGAAGCATATGATCAAGGACCCAGTGGTACTGAAAAAAGAAGTCCAAGCTGCACTGAAGGAATTGGCAAAAAAAAAAAAAAAACGAGGCTCCAGGAATTGATGGAATACTCACTTAGATGTTTCAATGAATGGATGCAGTGCTGGAGGCACTCACTTGTTTATGCCAAGAAATTTGGGAGACGTCTTCCTGGCCAACCAACTAGAAGAGATTCATATTCGTGCCCATTCCAAAAAAAGGTGATCCAACATATGGAAGAGCTGAAGGGTGCTAATTTCAATCTCCTGCTCTCTGGTAGGAGCTCTGGTGGTGTAGTGCCTAAGGCATTTGACTGCTAATCAGAAGGCTGGTGGTTCAAGCCCACCAGACACTCCTTGGAAGGAAGTTTGGGCAGTCTACTTCTGTAGTGGTAGTGCCTTGGAAACCCAAGGAGGGGGTCTCTATGAGTTGGATCCTACTCAACGGCAGTGAGTTTTTTTTTTTGTTTGTTTTTTGTTTTTTGAATCTCTAGTATATATACCAGGAGCTCTGGTAGCATAGTGTCTAAGGCACTTGACTGCTAACCAGAAGGCTGGCAGTTCAAACCCACCAGCCGCTCCTTGGAGGGAAGGTTGGGCAATCTACTTCCTTAGTGATACTGCCTCGGCAACCCAAGGAGGGGTCGCTGTGAGTTGGGTCCGACTCGATGGCACATGACAACACAACACCACTGTATATATACCTTCAGCTGCAATGAAAAGATCAGAACCACATGGGGAAAAGCAGCTCCTTTAAGTAGAAGGATTAAGTCATGAGAGAGCAAATAAGTTAGGTGAGGTGAAGTAGCAGCATTGTAGATATTCTCAGCTTTGTTGTGTCACAGTGAAATACAGAGTTTTGTTGAAGGACAAAAAATTTCACAAAACTGGGAGACACACAAACATCCACACAGGATGTTGCTGTGTTCCACATTGCAGGGAGAACACTGAGGGTTTTTATCAGGTGGAACAAAGACTTTGTGCTTGCAGTCATGCTTGCAAACATGCTTGCAGTTTTCAGAAAGGAAGAGGAGAAAAAAAAAGTTAAAAGTAGGGGAGGCTTGTACTACAACATTTCTTCACACCAGTCTCTAACTGAATCTATAATATTAATCTTTAACATTAATCTCTAACTTCTTGGAATGTGTTTGACCAAGATATCTTTTTAATATCAGTAAGGCTGTTATTGCAGCCTGTATGTAATATGCAGATATGCAGAAGACACAACCTTGCTTGCTAAAACTGAAGAAGACTTGAAGCACTTACTGATGAAGACCAAAGACTATACAGCCTTCCTTATGGATTATACCTCAACATAAAGAGAACAGAAATCCTCACACCTAGACCCATAAGCAATATCACGATAAATGGAGATTGAAATTGCCAGGGATTTCTTTTTACTTAGATCCACAGTCAACATCTATGGAGGCTGCAGTCACGAAATCAACATACTGCATTGGGCAAATCTGCTGCAAAAGACCTCTTTAAAGTTTTAGAGAGCAAAGTTGTGATTTTGAGGACTAAGGTACACCTCATCCAAGCCATGGTATTTTCAATTTCCTCATATACATGTGAAAGCTAGACAACAAACAAGACTGAAGAATTGATGCTTTTGAATTATGGTGTTGGCAAAGAATATTGAATATACCATGAACTGCCAGAAAAATGAACAAATCTCTCTTGGAAGAAATACAGCTAGAATGTTCCTTAGATGAGAGGATGGTGAAACTTCATCTCACATAGTTTGGACACATTATCAGGAGAGTCAGTCCTGGAGAAGGGAATCATACTTGGTACAATAGAGGGTCAATGAAAAAGAGGAAGACCCCCAATGAGCTGGATTGACACTGGCTGCTGCAATGGGCTCAAACATGGCAGTGATTGTGAAGATGGCACAGGACCATGTAGTATTGCATTTTGTTGTCCATGGGGTCACTGTGAGTCAGAGCCTACTTGACAGGTTTTAACAACAAGAAGTCCATTAGTTAACATCCTAGGGAAAAACTGAGTCAGCTTTCTGCACATTAGCTTTTTCCT